GGAAGACTTCTGTCATTAGTCGTTTCCTGTCTCATTACATCTGATGAAGGAGTTATAATGATTTGCATGGAATGCGGGAGGATTACCCATTACCTGTAATCTGAGATTTAGCAAACTATTCCTACTGTTTCCACTCTGCTCAGTTTGCCGTGTTAGACTCTGAACTTTGAGGAAGCCAACATTCTCTTTTTAAATAAATAAAATATACAGAGTAAATATTGAAACCTCAGTATAAGTTGTTATATCTTTTTGTGAACTTTAAAGACGTATACTGGTAGTATCAACTGGGTCAAATTTAGAGGTTGGTTAAAAATAAATAAGTGATTTTATGCAATTGGACTCTGTGATTCATTATATTATATAATTGACCAGTTTACTTTGCACCTGCCAAAATCACTTACTAAAATATCCAAACTGTTTTTAATACAGATATTCCCTTTTTTTTAGTCTTTAACAGTAAACAGTAAAGCTTAAAACTTGTACGTGAGTATTATTGTTTTAATGATTCTAATAGGTTGCTCTAGGCCATAGAATTAACAGATCTAGGTCTATTATCCTGGCCAATAACATAATTTTATGCAAAATTGGCATTTTACCAAGTGCAAGGTTCAATCAGGGAGAGCTGCTGTTAATGGGTGTGGCTGGTGGCTAAACTTAATTAACAGGGCTGCTCAGATGAGTTGGGTCATCAGAGGTATGGAAACCAGATGTAGGTAGTTAGAGCTATGCGTGTCTCTGTTAAAATGGTTTCCATTTCCTATTAGAGTAAGAGTATTAAGATCTGACCCTTTTGATGGAGAGCTGTTCCAAACTACCTGTGTGGTAGCCATCACACATCCAGGCACAAACACATGAACACCTCAAAGATGCTCATTTTTATACGTTCTACTTTATACACACACTTTGCTTCTTCCCTGTCTCAGTCATGATCCCACACACCCAAAACCGCACTCATATATATGCACTCCAACTCACTGACAGGTCATTTTACCACCATCTAATGTATCTAGTGCAGAGTGCAGATGCTAAATATAGAGGAAAACTAAGCGGAATATCAATGGCTCTCAAGATCATACAAAACAGCCGAGCAGTGATTCAGATAAAACAATAAGGCAGGTGCAAAGCGTGAGACCTAAAGATTATTAATGGTAAGTCTGAAATAGGTTTATCTTAAAAACTGCCTTGTTTTACATGTAATTGTGTATACGGATAATAAACAATTTCTAATAAACAAAGGGAGAAGTATATTTCCAAATCCAATGTGGAAATGCATCAAGCTTTTTAGAATGTAATTTAAAATTTAATGTATCCATGTTAACACTGACTTATAATGAAACACGTGACTCATGTGGGTCTTTTACATTTCAAATAATAGATCTTGTTGTTGGTAGGCATCATCATTTATTTCCTGTACTATCTATTTCGAAGTTGGATATTTTTTAACCTTATAATATTATACTCATAATTATAGTAATTAATAACAGTAATTACGCTAAATCTTTGGAACTTAAGACAACTCGGGAAGGAACATTTTACACAGTGCTATAGGATCAGGTTGAATTTATTCATTCAGTTAGTGTTATGACCTTCATTCATTGTTTTCTGTTCTCCTCCATTTTCTATGTATTTGTTTCATCATTCTTTGTTTACGCTAGGCATTTGTACATGAGCAAAATTGCACATGCTGTTGAGTTATGATGAGCAAAATAAACACTGCCCTTTGAAAGGTCAGAGAATCTAAATGACGGCATGAAATGAAACACAATAGATCCAGCCAACACGTTCCTGTTTATTTGAAAAGCAACCACTACCTTATGGGAAAATTAAGGGATGAGTGATTATTTGACAAGATTCTGGGAAATCTGGATTCCAGAATTCCCGAGCCCTTCATTAGTTGTTGATGTCAAGAAACTGCAGTGAGTTTGCACAGTACTGCGTGCAAGGAAGTAAGAGCTACAAAAAAAAGGAGCAAATTAAACAACTGAATAGCAGAATTCTGTAATTCAATGGGCTCTACTAATAATTAAATTGATAAGATGAATTAAGTAATTCCACATTACTAATTATAAATACACGCTGGGCAGTTATTACTTTAAGATTGCGGATTATTTTTACCTCCCCTAAGACTCACCAGAGTTAACGCATTTTCTGGTAGGATTTTTTTTCCTTTTTTGCCTATTAAAATTGGCTACGTTCAAATGAACTACAGTGTTTTTGAAAAGCTGCTCAGCTAAAGCTTGCTATAGTTTTCTCTACCTCATTTAAGCAAATAGCACCAGGGCTATCATAATGCAAAGTATCCCCTTGTGTATTATTGTTTTGATTGTTTTGATAGTAGAATACAGTTTTTTTTAAAAGAAAGCAAAGAAAAACAAAACATGTTTAGCTTAAAAGGCCACATAAATAAAAGTAGGCAATCCAAAAGGTGTGTGTGTGTGTATTCCTGTTTAGACGGCTTTGTGAGGACCAGAAATTGGCATTATACTATACTTGTGGGGGCCAACAGTCACTTGTGAGGACACACAAGGTCCTCACGAATTCATGAAATTACATAATTAATACTTTAATTGTCAAACAGCCTTTGCTGTGTGTGCTTGTGTGCTGTCAGGTAAACTGCAACACTGACGTGTTAGTCATGTCGTGCATACAGAAAAAACATATCTTCTATGCTGTCGTTGCTCTTTGACATGATGTTTCAAATCAAGAAAAAGCTTAGTATGGTATTTTAGCTTTTTGGTCTGCATTCTTCCATCTGAAGAAAGTCAGGTTGAGTGTCTACAAAATGATCAGTTGTCCCACCGTTGTGTCACATTGCTGTTCCACGTCTTAGTGATGAGACGCCTTTGGGCCTGTGATGTGAGTAATGATTTTCTAATAACCTGCAGCTTGTTAGCTCAGCTGGCTTGGGAACTGACTGCCAGAGTGTCTCCGTCCTGTTTGATGTGTGCGTCTGTGTGTTTGTGTACTCTACCAAAACACAGAAGTATGCACTGTCATTTTCAATTTCATAACACTTTGATCAATGTTGGACGAATTGTTAAAAAGTGACACAATTTCTGCATCGCTGCCCACATTTTATTATGCCAAAAGTATTTTTAGTTAAAGCATTGAACATTCACATCACTCCCTGACTTCTAGGCTTGCGTTCACCATGGATGTAATTGGTAACTTGATGTCGTGTTTTAGAAAGCTTTTGGTATAGATTAACTTTGAGATAAGTGGAAAAAAATATAGAGTAGCAATGAAAGAAGTCCTTCCTCTTATGACATGAAAGAATTTACTGTATATCTAACTTATAATGGCTGAGACACAGTGTGACTGAAGATGCTTGTTAAAGTATATAATAGGTTTACAGAGTAGTCAAAGTAAAGCCGTGGGAGGTTTTCACATTTCACATACTCGCATTAGATGGTGGTAGGTTTAGACAGTTAAGCTTCCCACCATGGTTTTTCTCATTTGTACTAAAAACCAACACATGCAAAAGGTAATCAATATTTTCTATAATGGCAAATGGATTGTCTTTAACTACTGTCACAGGAAGCTTTTAAAAAATATTTGAACTGCCTCCCTCTATAGCATGAAGAAAATACTGATATCCAAGTAAAATATAGTAGAGCTTAATGAAAAGGAAACTATTTTTCTACTTTTTAGCTCTCCAGTTCATAGAGTGTGTTAGTCTATACAGTAGTATCAATTAAATACGTGCAGTATTTAATAGATTCCCATTCATGATCCATTAAGGTTTAACCCTACTGACTTGGATCATCCACAGCCATTTCCTGTACTGCTACTTGAGAATGACATTTGTAGTATTGATATGACATTTCTTAAAGGTGCTTTATACAACCTTCAGAATCACTGGACTACAGAACAAACAGACACACTGCTGACATCTATCCCATCCCTTTACTGGATTTCTTTTTTGTCCTGCTTATTTCTAATAGACATTACTGAGCTATTGTGACATCACTATGAGCTTTTTTTTTAAAAAAAAATTGTATATAGCGTATAACATTCTAAATACAGGTAAATTAAATGGAGAATAGCACCCGTTTCTCAGTTAGACACATGGTGTGAAGCAGAGAAGACACAAAAGTAGGAGACAGAGAAGAGATGATCTCTTTAAAGACAGCAGCAGAGACTCTAAAGACTGAGATAAAAAAAGGCGCTGTTGATTCACTCATGCAAATTCCAAATATGTTTTTGATGTTGTATCAGTGTTTAAAATCTCACATATAAAGCTTGTGAAAAACTATTTGATGGATTACTATAATATGTGGAAAACATATTCATGCAAACATTTTCAAGTTTTACTCTTGATTTGGGGATGTGTTGTGATTGCTGATGTTCACAAAGGTTTGCGTGCAGCACATCCCCTTACTGGCTCCTGAATAGCCCTTTAGCTCAGACACAGTTCGGTGTCAGTGTACGCGGCTACTAAATTAGCCAAAATAGAACAACAAAACTGATGCCAACAATTACCCCAGTGAAACCAACAACTGATGGCCAATCGCCATTGTGTTTGTCAATTTGCCCCACTGGCATCCTAAAGTGTAATCACGTAGTAATTGCAGATTATAATTAGCAATTATTCATTCATACTTCTCAGTAACTGACTCAGCTACAATTCTATGAAATAGATGTTTCATGAAGGCTTTAAATTTAGGGTGGCTGTAGCTCAGGTGGTAGAGCAGGTCATCTACTGATCGGAAGGTTGGTGGTTTGATTCCTTCCCCTAGTCTGCATGCCAAATATCCTTGGGCAAGATACTAACCCCAAATTGCTCTCCGATGCATCCATCGGAGTATGAATGTGTGTGAATGTCAGTTAGAAAGCACCTAGGAAAAATGTGCTTGTGTGAATGGGTGAATGCACAAGTTGTGTAAAGCGCTTTGAGTGCTAAATTTACCATTTAAATTGTCACTAATGTCAACTTTGGGGATATCGCTATAAACATTTGAACTCTAATATTGTCTTTTTTTTTCTACTCTTTTCAACAGGTCTGTGGATTCAGCTTGCTGTTCTGTCTTGCTTTTCTGTCCATCTACCTGCCACCTCAGTTTATCTTCATGTTGAGTCTTAAAACACAGACCACCAGATAGAGGTAGGCATGGCTTTAGCTACAGCTTTAACTGGTATTTGTTGTATTGTAGAGTTTTAAAGTGTGCTAACTGAGGTTGCAAAAGCGGCTCATTTGGGAGCTGTGACACTGTTGTTTTGCTTTAATTACACCTGAAACATACATAAACAGTTATTGCCAATTAACTTTAATAAAACTTTAATGATCCTCTGGGAAATTGGGTAAGTATAGGATATTACATTAAGCTCTAATTGATATCATTAGAACACGCTCACACACACATATGCATCCATTTTTGTTAGGTTTGTTAAATAAACTGCAGCTGTTTTATGGGTTTTTTTCCTCATACTTCCAAGTTCAGCAGTAAGTGAGACATGCTGCAAGCCTTGGTTTTCTTATGCATAGTGAATGGGAAAACAAGGCATGTGCCCTTGAGTGCACAAATTCACATGTGAAAGTAAAGTAATTTGTGTGTGTGTGTGTGTGTGTGTGATAAGAGCAGTGTTTTTTTTACTCCATTTTTCTCTGCCTGTATTGCAGACATATTAGGCACACTGCTTTAGGCAGGCAGACAGCTACGCCAAGCAGGGAGACTGCCCTTGCTGGCTCTGATACAGGATAGAAGGACTATAGATGGATGGATGAAAGATAAATAAGTTATCATTGTAAAACATTTGCAGATGATTAGCTGCCACATGTCTGCCTTTATCTAAAATTCCATTATATTTTTACATTTTATATACTGTCTTTTACGAGGGTGTTTGTGCTTAACAGAAGCACAACCTCAACGTTTATTTATTAGTTTTTGATTTTAGTAGCAATGATTAAAAAACATACTCTGTGCACAGATCAGTAGTCATTCAGTTGCATCCATCAGATTCCTGTTTGTCAGTTGAAATTCACAAAGGACAGAGACTTGTCTTTTAAAAGGATACTTTTGAAGTCCCTGAGAGAGATCTATGTATGTCTGGGTTTGGGTTTTTGTTTTTTGCTTTTTTTTAACATAATATTGGTATAGTTACTGTTATGTTTTCTTTTATTTAAGGATTTGTTTTTTTTTTGTCAGAAACCAAGCCAGGAAATTTTTTTGAACTGTCTGGGATTGTTACCAAAGCACAATTACTGTGGATTTTATGGAATGGTTTTATCCTTTGGATCACTAGGGACAAACCAGAAGTTATCAAGATGAACATGACAAGCTATACAGGAAAAGCTATAAAGAAGTAATTATAGACCTATGATTATCCATTCTATACATTGTTCAAATAGACAGCATTTAAAAAAAAATATAGGAACACTTTAAACACATCAGATCTGCATAGTTCTTGTACATTTTTTTAATGTTTAATTTATTTTCGTTAGGAAGATAATGCTCTTGCAAGGCCATTTACCTTTTTGTATAACAAATTGCTCTACATTATTTTTTTAGTTTTGCACGGTCAGCTAATTTAGATTTTATACACTGAATAAGAAATGTTTATACAGTATAAAAGAGTCAGCAATTTTGTGTGAATGCAGTAGTCCTATGATGATTAATTTTTATTGAGTCATTGTTTAACATCAAAGCCTATAGGGACAAAGTATGCAGATTCAGTTCTTTCTTTTGACTTGCTGGTTGTACGAGACATAGAGTCAGACAACTTACTTCTTATCTGCCTAATTACTTTTATGACACACTCTAATGAATGTGTCCTTAAACCATGTGATATCCATACTTTTGGCTATTTTTACCTATTACAAAACAGGTTTCGCTTTTCTCAGTGATCTTTCTTCTTACATCTCAAACACCATAATGTGCTGTTTGCATCGATCCTTTAAATTTCTGGCCATAATTGACTATTGTCTTCAGACGCAGGCTTGACTCTGCTTGACTACGATTCCACTGAAATCAGTAGTATCTGTCAGTTTGATGGGCCCGTCCATAGCCTGTTGAAAAAGGTTTGAGCTTATAAGGGCTCAGAAGCCATTAGCTTCTACTGTGTGTGTGCATTGAGGATAAACCTGTGTTCTTTAATTAGACACCAATGGGATACTAGCATGCAATACAAGCTGCACCTGACACTGCTTTTACTGCTCTGGGATCAGTTTTGAGGTGGACATTGTGGAAAACAGAGCTAGTATTGACAAGTAAACAAGCACTCATGTTAACAGATAAAGTTTCTCTTACTGATTACTCCTTTAGCAAGCTAGTTAGGAAAAACTCATTGATTGAGAAGGGACACGCTTACCAGAAGTTAAACAGGTGTAGTCATAAAAACATAAATAACATAAAATAAATAAATAAATAGTAAAGGATGACTTGGTGGTAGCCCTACTGTACGACAGACTGGTGACATATACAAGATGTGTAATAGGCTCAAGTCCCTGCTGTATGTGTGTGACACTTAAATAAGAGCATGTTCTTTACTCTCAAAATTGCCATGAACAAGTCCATTCACTTTATATTCTCCAAGTTCTCCTACATAAATTGTTTCCTAATGCAAAAGTCATTAAACAGATACTATGGAACACCCCATACATTTAAAATATGATGTAAGGCAAGAGGCTATACCTGAATTAATGCAATTTTATAAATGCAAGCCCTTATTCAGATAATTAGACCACCAAAATGGGACTTGAGGAAAAAAAAAGGCAAATTTACACATAGTTTAAAAGTAGGGATGCACCGATACCGATACTGGTATCGGGTATCGGGGCCGATACTGTAAAATGTGTGTGTACTCATACTC